AATTGTGGACTGTGCAGTTTTTCAAGCAGAGGGAAAGCGAAGTTATATGGTATCACCTAGGCTGGAACACTTGCTATTTGAAGCATGTTATAGCTGATCTATAATTCACATGCTTATTTTGACAGGCTGGCTCTTGTTAGTTTTCAATGGGTGTGGGAGGAAATAGCAGTGCATAAAACTTACACATTACTAATACCATTGCCATATAAAACAAATATTTGAATAGGAAGTTTCAGAAATGATTCAGTGCTCTAACTACAGAATATCCTACAGGAATTTTTTTATAGTAACAGAATTAATGAAAAGCAAATCCTATTTCTTCACCATGGGCATAGGGTGGTCCCAGTGCAGCAGAGCCAATGTGATACTCCATCTCAGGGGTAGAAAAAGCAGCCTCTACAGATTGCTGGCCCCCTGGGTGACTGAATCTTACTTTGAAAGGACTCCTTGAGCTGAGAGGTTGCTATATGCTTTTTAAGTGACTGCACCAGATCGTGTGTGTGGGTGCAGCAGACAGGGGCTAAAAGCCCTGAGCTGCGCTACAGAAGCAATTGAAAGCCACTCTGTTGTTGCTGCTCTACCAACTGCAAAGGAAAACTCTCTTCCCACCCCTGCAGACTATTCTAACCACATCCTTTGAAGGTACTGAAGTTATTTCACTCACTTAGCCCACAGTTTTCTCAACATTAAGTCATAACTTGAAAGCTGCAGGGTGAGGAGATAATTGTTACGTCAGTAACAACATTTCATTCAGACACTGTCATAAGCGGAGGATTTCTAGGTGCTGAAAATGTGATATGACCACCAAACAAAGAAGCCAAAGTATAACTTTTAAAATAACCACATTTGCACCATGGCTTTGTGGTTTACTGGGAACAAGTTGCACAAAGTTTGCTCTCAGATCTCTCTTTTCTGCAGTATGGCTGTTCCGCTGTAGTTAGGAACAGCATGCAAAGTTTGACACAGATGCTGCATATTCTCGTTTGTTGTGCCGACTTTATCACAAAATAACTTTGAGCTTTCTCAGTTTGTGTCTCAGATCTGTATTGGAAAATGAGGGAAAAGCACTTCATTAATGAACTCCTGGAGAACTGTGGTTTTTTCAGATGCAACAGTGAAAAGGGAACACATGAATTTGTGAAGCTGAAACAAATGTAATGCATCCCTGGCACCACTTTGACAATCCCTACTGTGTGCAGTGACAAGACATTGTCTGTGAACTTCAACAGCTTGACCAAGGAAAATTTCTAATTTTTTAAATTTTCAGTAACTTTTAAAAAGTTGATGGGTGCATGATAGGTTTTTAACACTGGGAAATCCACCTCAGACTGGAGAATTCCCTTTATCTTTTTGAAAGAGGAAAAGTCTGTGTCTCATATCTGCTTTGTCCTAGAATCACTTTTAGCTGAAATGTAGTATACTATTTTTACTTGCATCTGTTTTAATGATCACATATATGTGATACTGCAACAGGTGGAGTTATTTATACACATGGAAAAAGATGTAAGTTGTTCAAGATCTTAAAATAACTTGTCTACTAAAGGAATCCTTTCTGTTAACCATAGAAAAGGGTGGAGGTGTAGGGAGGAAATGAGCATAAGGTTGTTTTATTTCTATCTCACAAGGCATGAATGAATACCTGTTGTCATCTAATATATCCATCTATGTGGGTCTCCAGTTGGCTACTTACTGGCATTTCATGGGTACTTTTTCTCCTGGCTTCCTCGGCTAAGATGGACAATGACTATTGAACAGAGAAGTTTTACGTTTTCAAAGTGCAATAAACTTGAGAGTGCATATTTTTTTCCAGGTCTTAGGTATGTGGAAATGAATGGAAACAATACTAGGACTAAAGTAAAGAGCTGTCCCTTAAACTCAAAAGCTTGTAAAATCCTGCAGCAGTGATGCAACAGTTCATAAGGCTAGCATGTGTAATTCCAGTTCATAAGACTAGCAAGTGTAATTCTGATCCCTCTACTTTGCCAGGCTGTGACACTGGCAGATTTCCAGAATAAGCCAGTTTCAGAACTGTGGAGCCTCCAAATATGATCTTCTGTCAGTCACAGAGATTTCTGCTCCAGGAAAGGAAAGATTCATCTGGCAGATTATAATCACTACTGTACAAGATGGTGAAAGAAGTGATCTCTCCTAAACTGGGATGCCAGCTACTCCAGGACTAGTCAACACCTTGAACTGTGCTGAGAAGCGGCGGTGACTTGGCTCAAATATCACTATATCTCATCCTACTCTTGTGATGCAAACCACTGTTTTTTCAATAGATGCTACAGTGGCAACTCCCAGCCTTTGCTGAAACCATCCAAATGCTTCAGAGTTTCCAGAGCCATCCCCATTCTGGGCTTTCACTTCCCTAAAAAAAAAAAAAAATAAAAAAAAAGAGAAACAGTGAAGGTGACACACCTGATTTTTGGGCTCTTACTGCAGGACAGACCAGCCATACCCAGACCAGGTCCTGGGGGTTGCTCTGCTTTCCCCATCCCATTGTGGGGTAGCAGCTCCAGGTTTCTATAGCTCAACCTGGGCAGTGTTTCACAGGACATTGAGGCTGCAAAGTCATGGGCAGGGGGAATGTTTATAACTGAGAGGTGTAGTAGTATCTCCCATCTCCCATGGGGTTTCTATCTCCATAGGACCCAGTGCCAGCATGCAGAAAGAGGGGAGTTCAGGCAAAGGTTGGTCATAAATTACCAAGGGAAGTTCCTCAACATAACACGTGGGACCCAGCACCAGAATGGCTACACAAAATCAAATAACCCTGATATACTGACTAGCTGTAATAAACAGAGACTTTAATATACTTCAAAACAACTACAATATTGTGTTAAGTACAATGATCTTCAATACCTTTTCTTAACCTGACTAATCAATACCCCAAATTTTCTTTCCTTTCTAGTCCTAGAAAATCATATAAAGGAGTATACTGTGTCTGTGACAAACCTGAATCACTTGGGTGGTCCTGATAATGGGATACTTGGTTAGACATGAGCTTTAGTTTTGGTGAATTTTGTTGCTCCTGCCAACACCTTAAGAAGATTACCATTTCTGATAAGAGCTCAAAACATTAAAGGAAAACTAAAAAGAGAGCAAGTTCTTTCAAGAGAATAAAGCCAATGCTGTGGGCAATTGGAATGAACTACACCAGCTTTCAGAGATTAAAGAGGAAAAACTGCAAAGAAGATTTACCAGTTGAAACTCTGTGTCATTAGAAATCACTTTTTTTGCCATCAAAATAAAATTAATTTAAAAAGTGAAACTGTATGTGTGTTTGCTTAGGAGTAGGAACAACCAACCATTCCTCCACCTACCGCTCAGCTGCTGCTTTATATAATAAATGACTACTCATTTTTAACATTTTTCGTATCTTACCTAAATAAAAAAAAAAGATCAATATTAATTCAAAGAAGCAGCTGCCCATCTTGATACCTGCAATTATCTATTATAACTTAATATTATGGGCAAAAGTGTAATAGTCTGGCATTCAGTAGTTCCTTATTACAATTATGAGCAAAGTTAGTTGACTGATGTTAAGGTTGACTAACAGTGTTAGTCAAGAGGAACCTTGGTTTTTGTTGTTTATGACTTTATCAGACTCCAACAAACTGAATTGAAAATACCCTTGCCAGACATCTGTCTCAAACTTGTTTTATGTGTTTCCTTTTGGAAAATTTCAGCTAAAATCTGTTTGGGACAAAAAAAAAAAAAAAAAAAAAGACAATGGAGTCTCTGTTTGGCCTCGTGTGTGTCATTGGTGGCTCTTTCAGCCCTGTGCTTAAACAGCAAAAGCTAGAGGAAAAGAGAAGGTTCTTTTTTTCCTACCACCAGAGAAATGTTTTTGGTGGCCCCATGGAACAAACCTACCTGACCAAATCGTAGCCTACCCTAGTACTACCAAAATATGAGACCTAAGTTCACTGAAGAGGCCTCTGCAATGACCATGTTCTGCCAAGAGCTATTGAGATTAAGCAGGATTTTCTGCACATTGTAGGGGATGCTACAGAAGTGCCAGACAGGAACCAGTCCTGCTCCTTCTCCCTTCTGGACTCTCCTGTCATTCTACATTATTGGATGGGTATAAAATGACAGAAAAGATGCATATTTCTCTTGCTTTAATAAAGTGCTTAAGTTAGTGAACAGTTGATCATCCTCTGCACTTTTCTCAATGTCTCTTGCATAATTATCTTTGGAGAGATAATGACAAAGAGGCCAAAGTGAGTTTAGGATGTATTTTATAAAAAGTACAGATTCAAGGGAATTTGTTAATAAAACTGGACTCTGAACAAAAGCGCAAAAAAAAAAAGTATCCTTCACAGCTAGCACTCTGTACCAAATATAATTACTGAGGGAGAAAAAAAGCTAAAAAGTAGTAGAATTAATGTTTAAATTGCTAACATTTATGTATGATAGAACAGTAGTTTTATCTCTTGGGAATTCAAGTAAATAGCAAAGTTGTCAGCTGGTGTGACTAGCCTGGCTTGCTGTGAAGAGTGTTCCCTGCTCTTAAAGAATAGGTCACTGTTTTAGTGACAAAGAAATCATACCATGTAATAAATGTTCAAAATATTGATTGTATTTACCAGTGGGTAGGAGGAAAATAGTACGTATAACATTTAGATACAAAATGTCCTCTTCAGATTTAATGATACCTCTCTCAATAAAGGGTCAGATACCAGAATACATGCCAGGAAAAGTTTGGATAAAAGATCAAATCTAGGATAGATTGATCAATAGTAGCAAGGAACTTGCAGTGAAAATTGCAGTGCTTTAACAGCTCAAAGGATACTCAGGGAATAAGGTAAATATTCTGAGAGGGTGTTTTTTTAGAAGGGAATAACAGAGATTTCGAAAGTTAAATCTCTCAGCTTTCTTATTACATCGTGTTTGCATAATCATATCCAGATGCTTTAGGCAATAGTCGCTTCCTGTGCTTACAGTTTGCTGTTGTCTCATCATTCCTTTATTAATCTTCGTGAGGATTAGCAAAACAAACAAGATAACTGTGAAGCTGAAAACAATTTCGTGTTGCTTCCTGTGAGAAATTGTTTCCAAGAAGCAGTGTTATCTTTTTACATAACCTGGATTTCCTCACAAAATGTGTTGGGAATTTTTTGCTATAGGTGTACTTTCAGTCTCAGAGGTAGCAAAGTGCTGAACTCCTCTTTCCTCGCTCTCAAACATAGGTAGGATTCTGCATGCCCACAGCTCGTAGCAGGAACAAGGCATTGTTTCTTTAAAGTCTTCCATCCAGACTTTGTGTGCAAGACCATGCACACCCATAGAGGCCTATAAAGAACAGCACCTTTCACATTATTGTCTAGCTAAAAATAGGCCATACACTTACTATAACATGACATTTACCAAGCTATTTCCTCTGCATGTCAGCAGAATAAAATATACATAAATAAAATATCTTCCACACGCTGAAAATAGCACTCTATAATCATCCCAGTGCACAGGACGGAGTTATTGTGCAATGACAGCGCACCTTGTTGAGTGATAGTGCAGAGCTTTTGCCCTGTGCCTAGCAACATACCCAAGCATGGGATCAGAGTCTACACCCTGCCTTATTGCTCAAGTAGGACCTGGCAAATGTCCCTTGATGTTGCCCTGGCCCATATCCACATATTTTACTAACATATGTAACTTCACATTCATCTTAAGGATAGACATGGTTACGTGTATTCAAGGTCTGAGGCTGTTTGTATCTTGAATTTTCTTGCAGGAATCAGAGCCATTGGAGGAGAGAGGCTTTCCTGGCTAGTGCAGCACAGGTAGCATTTAATAGAAAGTCTTAACTGTTGAAACAAATAAATTAGGTTGAATATTACCATCAAAGAGTTGCAAAGTAAGGAAGAAGTTACAATAACCTCGGGAATCTCCTTGATAAAGTATCTCACACATTCTATATATAAAGTTATATTTTAAATGGAAAACATATTCAAAACATACTAGTTTAACCTTTAGAAGATACTGGGGTTTTTGTTTTACTTTAAGTTTATTTTAAGTGTATGCAAATGAAAGGCAGTGATTTGAAAGCATTGTCATCCCAAGACTATAATTATTCAGTATTAGGTTGTCACTCAAACTCCAGGGGAAGTAGGATCACTGCGTTTCTTCTTGTCATGGAAGCCACCATCTTGTTTCAGTAATACCTTAAAATTTCTCCTGAAAGAAACTTAGATTTTAAAAAAATTGAATAGGATGCTTTTTCAGAGCCTACTTGTCGTGGGTATCCGTCGAAAGGTCTCGGCTTGAAAGGGGGAAGAAGGACAGACGACACACACGAGGATGGTGAGACAGAGAGATGTCTGCCTGCTCAGAGCAGCAGGCAGCCTTTTATTAGGTTCTCCTACTTCTACTTTTTCACACACATAACACAAACATATTTCAACAAAAATACTGAGGAATGCGCACCTGCACTTCAGCCACACAGCTCAAGGCTGTGTCCATGGGAACTATCTAGTTAGCTTCACTGCTCCCATGGAAAACGGCCCAACACCCCGCAACACTCCAAACTCCTCAAACTTCAGTTGTGGGGCTGTGACTTCCCCCCACATTGTACTGTCCAACTCTCAGGGCCACTTCCATGGGAATATGCAGCCACCTCCACCTTTCTCAGGGGAATGGTCTTACTCCCCTCAATGCCTCCAGCTCTTCCACTTCCAGGGGGCCCAGGGGTTCCATGGGCCTGCCACCTCCCCCCACACCTACTCCTACAAGCCTGTATGAACAGACTGAACTCACACCAGTACAATCATTACCTTTTATATGTTTGAATGAAGGTTTCCCTTGCAAACAAGCACATAGTGTTTCCTTAACAAAAGTAAACTCATTAAACACTCTGGAGATCTCAAGTGTCTCTGTGTTTATATTCCACAAGACCATAATTCTCATGGATATATCTTTACTTCAGCTTGTGGAAGATGGAGCTTGTTTCTTCTACCCTTGTCTTATCAAAGGGTTTTCAAGAGGTTGGTGAGGTACAGAGAAGGAAATTGTAACTGCATCCAAAAAGTTGGGACCATAAAAATGACCTTCCTCTATTGCAATTAAATTGTTTGTCGCTTCAGACCAGAAAAAAAAAAATTACAACCTTACACACACACCCATTAGAGCTGTACATGACCGCCAAAAAGCCTTTCCTATTCTCATTAGAGTACAACATCCAGCGTTGTGGCCAAACCTTTCAAAGCAAGGTTTTCAAATGCAAATTGCACAAGTCACTGAGAAACCTGATCCTCAGAAGCTCTAAGCACCTCTAACTGCCATCAAAGCATTCACATTGCCACATATTAAAATGATAAGGCTTTGCAGCATAGGATTTTCCAGAAAATCTAAGCAACAATTTCAGAGTCAGCATCAGTTGCACTATTACCACCAGTGCACTACTAATCATGCTTCTTACACAGGAGTAGACTTAATATCCCTGCTTGAAAATCTTCAGAAAAAGGAGTGAGAACAAGAAGACCAGCATCTTAGGAGATATAACAGGCCCTGCAAATAGCTGTGTCACTTTTGCTGTGTGCTAGAGACTGCACAGCTGGAATACTGCCCTAGAATTCACACACACACCTTCAGAGAGTATGTTTGCTTAAGCGTCAGAGAGTTCATCTGTCCTCATGCCGAGTGCATAAATGCCAGTTCAGGGTGCATTGACCTGGACTATCGTAATCTTCTAGAAAGAAAGTGTCGTGTGATCCCTGGTTTTACAGACCCATTGTACCAAAAAGAAGTGTATTGCCCATAGGCAACATTCTCACACACATTAGGAGTATAAACAAGCCATCTGAGGGCTGTCATTTGCCCCTACAAGGAGATGTTTGCCCTATGTGTTCAAGCAAAGTCTAGAACCACTTTGTACATCTTATTAATACAAGGAATTTCACTCTAGTAAGGAATGTTCCATGTTCATACAGTTTGTTGTTATGATAGCCCTAATTCCAGTTCCATCCTTTAGACAGATGCAGATTTATCTGAGATAGCTATGTGCAGGTAAGCACATAGTTGGCATTACAGGTTTCTGCATCGTGCTGTGATGGTTTCGCAGTCTCCATCTTCCTTCTTTAAGTTTGCATCTGTGTCTTCTAGTAAATATTGAATATTTACAATACCAGTCATTTGTTAAGAAAATATTTGGCCACCTGAATGATATATTAGGTCTGGACCCAAAATCTGTAGCTGAACATAGAAGTTACTGCTATTGTAAGTCATCCCCATGACTTACAGTGCTACTATTCGCTTCTGTGCTAATCCCACCATGTGTATTCATTTGCAGTACTGTGGTTTTAAATAGCATCTTTGTCACATATTAAAGACAGCTAACTCTTTCAACCTACATACTTACTTCAATCTTAAAAGAATATAGTACTGTAAGGAAAAAATTTACTCAATACTAGACATTCAAGACTTCCAGGACTGCTGCACGCTGCTGGAGTGCAGAAGTGGATAAAGGGGTAAGTGTTGGTGTTTTTCCATTTCATTGTAAGCACAAACTCTTTCCTGAAGCATGTTGCAGTTGTTTGTGCTCTGAAGAGAGCAATATTTTTAGCTTTACCACTTACAGTACTGGGATGTATTGCAAACTTTTTGATTAAGCATCATAGGCTACAAGAAAAGCTTGGAGCTGTAATGCCTCTAGCACATTTTTAGGCAGTTACCATGCCAACTGTAAAAATTATGAGTGGAATGAATACAAGAAGTCTTTTTGAAAATAAAATAATGCACAGTTATTGAAGAGCCCAAAGTTTTGGAACACTGTATTATATTGTTGGAAGATTTATCATGATCCATATATAAACCTACTGGTTTTATCAGGAGCTGATAAACTGTCACTAACAGTCTGCAGACCTGCAGAGGTTTCACTCAGAGACTAAAGCATCTGTGTTATCCTTTGCAGAGTTTGGAATTACCATAGAACTATGAGCAAACCTTCAAGCAAAGAATCACTCCAGACTTGAAAAGTGTATGTGAGATGCATATTAAGTAGTGCATGGGAATCATAGAATTCTATTGTAATTCCCAGATAAGACCTCCATGATGCTGGATGGAAGTTAGTATGCACAGAGAAGCACAAATGCAAGTTGTAAGGTAAGGGCAGAGGGAGATAACTCACCAATTATCTTCATGCACGAAAAGACCCCACTTGGGTAAATTGGCCTAAATTATTGCCAATGGAATCAGAGAAGGATAATGAGAAATAAAACCAAACCTTAAAACACCTTCTTTCCCACCCCTTCCTTCTTCCCGGTTTCAGCTTCACTCCTGATCTTTCCCTCCTTCTCCCCCAGAGGCACCGTGGGACAGGGACTCAGGATTGCAGTCAGTTCATCGTCTGCCACTCCTTCCTCCCCGGGGGAGGACTCCTTGAACTTTTCCCCTGCTCCAGCATGGGGTCCTCCATGAGCTGCAGGTGAATATCTACTACACCATGGACCTCTATGGGCTGCAGGGGAACAGCTGCCTCACCATGGTCGTCACCATGGGCTGCAGGGGAATCTCTTCTCTGGCACCTGGAACACCTCCTGCCCCTCCTCCTGCACTAACCTTGGGGTCTGCAGAGTTGTTGCTTCCACATATTTTCACTCCTCTGTGTTCTGTTGTTGTCTGGTCGGTTTTATTTCCTCTTCCTAACTGTGCTATCTCAGAGGTGCTACCAGCATCACTGATGGGCTTGACCTTGGACAGCAGTGAGTCTGTCTTGGAGCTGGCTGGCACTGACCTTATTAGACACAGGGGAAGCTTCTGGCGGCTTCTCACAGAAGTCCCCCCTGTAGCCTCACTCCTACAAAAACCTTGCTGCTCAAACCCAATACATTGGGCTACCATATTTTCCAAGTGAGTTGTTTTCATTAATACGGGATAGGAGGATGAAGAAAAAATCCTTTTCAAAAATAGTGTTTGCCAATGGAAGCTCTGCAACTTCATTCCTCTGGAAAACAGTGACTTTTGAATAACTAATTTGAAAAAAATAAGTTATTTGTGGAATTCTCTGTGAAAGAACAGTCAACTCCAAGTTTCCTGTCATTTAGGAACACTTTATAAATATATTTATAAAGAAGACTAATATAATACACAATAATATGACATAATTATATAATGGTCTTAAGCTCTGCCAGGGGATGTTTAGGTTGGATATTAGGAAGAAATTTTTTACAGAGAGAGTAATCAGACATTGGAATGGGTTGCCCAGGGAGGTAGTGGATTCACCATCCCTGGAAGTTTTTAAGATGAGATTGGATGTGGCACTTTATGCCATGATGTAGTAACCACGGCAGTGTTGGATCAAGGGTTGGACTTGATAATCTTGGAGGTGTATTCCAACATGGTTGATTCTGTGATTCTATTCTATGGAAAACATTGATATAATTATTAATGTAATGATAAAGTAATTAATTTCTTCCTTCTTCCACATCCCTTGTTTGAAATGCAGCTGAAAGAGAAAATTTTAGTGAGTTTTGGCTGTGTTAGTGGTTCACAGCAGTTGGATGTACATCCTTCTGGTCAGTGCAGTCCACATTTGGACTGCAGTCTCCACCTTCATTTGGAGACTAAAAAGGAATTTGTCAGTCAAATTAATATAAAACAATGCTAGTACTGGGTGACACCAGAAATTGATGGAGGCCGAGAGGAGAAGAGCAGAAGAAACATATTGTGATATTGTGCCCTGTTTCCTGCATTTCCATGTCAGGGTCAATTTCAGCTGAAGGCGACACTTTTGTGTTTGTTGAGGTCCAGACTAAGGGCTGATTGGAAAGGGACAATCAGGGAATGGGATGGGCCAGGTGTACTGCTTTGCAAAATGGCCCCAACCCTCTGGCTTGGGTTTGATATTCCTCTTAAAAAGCCTTCTTACAAAAGTACTTTAAAAAGGAAAGATACAAAGTCCACAGTTCTTTAAAAACTGTGTTTGAAAATTAATTTAAATTTACACGTGTACTAATTCGTTTGTATATTCTTGGGCATTTCAGTCTGAGTCAAAGACAAAAGTTGAAATACTGTATTTTTCATACATTTTCATACTATGTTGTTCAATAAATCTGTTATATTCGTGCATGAAGACCAATCTTTATGAAATCTCCAGAGGGATTCCTAAGATAGATCAAGAAATTTTTTTATGTTGGCTAAAAATATTTTTATTGACTGTTTCCTCAACATCCTGTTCCAAAGATGTAATTTCCCAATAAATTTATGGGAAACCTTCCCTGCAAGGTTAGAAAACAAGAACTTCCAGTATTCTGCTCTGGCTCTTGTTTATTTCAAAACAAGGACTTCAGCTCCTTTCAACAGAAAGGCTCCTTTGGTATTACTTTATCTTTTCAGTTTTGGTGTTGAATAATTGATATTGGATACTGATCAATGTGATTTTTTAGGATTCCTTCTGTGGGAACAGTTCCAGGCCACTGCCAAGGTCTGGTCTTGGGTGGGTGGTGGGTGGTTTTGAAGTAAATTTACATAGTTGTTAAATATGTAAAGTGGTAGAAAATCCAGTGGCCTTTCTTTATTCATAGCTTGAGGTGCAACAGCAGGAAGAGGAGGCAGTGGTGGTAAGTGCAGGACGCTGGATTTTGCAATAGATTTAGGAAGACAGCCAACATAAAGAGGAAAAAAATGTGAGCGGCAGCCAACACACAGGCTACTTTACACAAGTTAGATGAATGTTCATCTGTGTCTCACATCAGGTCATATAAAGCAAGGACAAGGGTAGCATTTCCAGCTAGACCCCAGTGTAAAATAATTGTGGTTTAACAATCCACACAACATATTTGACAATAATTAATTAACAGTTAGCCCTTTGTAGTGCCCACAAATCAGTGCTTCTAAGTGTGGGCTTGGAGCCCTCTGTTCATTCATTTACCAAAGCCTCTTCACTTAAAATTCAAACTAATCAGTTTACTCTTTGATGAGTTAATCCTCCTGCTCCCTTCCACCTCCTCTCTCCCAGACCCCACAAAGCCTCAGAAGTTTGGGTTATGGAAAATTGCCAAATTGAACCCATTTAGGCCTCAATTACCAAAGTGATTGTATCCTAGAACTATCCTGGAGAATGAGCTGCTCCCCTCTTCTCACACCACGTTGCCACTACTGTGAGTCTGTGGCTCCATTGGTCTAAGCTAAATTTTACTCACTGACATAGCCTAGTAGAAATGAGAGGAGATTCTGGCCCTGGTTTTAAATATTTGAACAGGGTAAAAGCCAAAAATGGTTGGAAATTATTTAGCCTACTATTAGGGGATATAATTAGACATACTTGGGTATAATTAGACTTGGATTAAATAGAAGGGAAAAAAAAGCAGCATGAAAAAAACAGCCACGCTAACAGTAAGATCCCTTGTACATGGGAATAAGGCAAAAATGAGGGAAAACCACAGTGTAAATTAAGTAGGTGACAGCATAAGTCTTTTATGTCTAATATTATAGAGAGTCAGCTTGTACCTTTTGTTTGCTGAGTGAGGAACAAAGAGTGACCTTGGGAATCTGCAAGCATAGGCCATAGTTTGTGATCAGGGATGCCATCATACCTGAGGTATCCCCATCTCACCAGGGATTGTTGAACGGGATGTGTCATCTCTCTCCAGATCCATGTGGGTTTCCTTGTGTAAGGCACAGTGTTATATTAGGTAAGATCTACAATGAGCCTTTTTTACTCCTTCAGCAAAGGTGAGGTTGTTTCTCAGAAGGCTCTACTAGGAGAATGGCATAGGAAATAACAATGCTGCTGCATCAAGCAATGACCCCACAGAGAAAGTCCTGAGACTCTTATGGGGATACACTGAGAATTAAGACTTTTTATCTCCACACAGCAAATCATTCACAAGTTAGGCCACAGTTTTGCATTTCTAGTAACTGAGGTTTGTGAGGGTCCACCGCAGACATTTCCTCAGAAGTTTAGCAAAAATAAAAACAAAACTACATAAAGAAGTTTACTAAGGTGGAAAAATCAAGGACAAAAAATGTAGGGAATTCAACTAACTTAAATTAAGCTGTGTGCAATCCTAATTCTACCCTTTTGTGTGTTTTGATACAGTCTTTAATTGCATAATCACATACTATTTGGTGAATAATTCCAGACCCAGGGCTGATTTGGGATTGTGTGAACTAAATAAGGCATGAGACCACACACAGTGAATGAAGTGGATAAAAAGGAATATTGAACAGCTGCCTTGTTTACTGAGTACCACCCACTAAATGAGGCAGCGATTCTGCAGAATTTAAAAAAAAAAAAAATGTACACGATCAATATAATTAAATACTCAGTAATAATGCTTAAGTACAAGGAAGAGCAGAGACGCTGTATGGACAAATCAAACCCCCTTCCCTAAATCTTCCATTTAGTCAAACCACATTTGTTTTGCTATTTTTCACAGGTGCCAAGAATGCCTTCTCTCACTTTCCCCTGCCAGTGGCTGCAGTGCACTTCTGATTCAGTTAAACTTAATCCAACCTACCCTTATTATAAAAACTGGAATTGCTTTCTCAGACTGTTTTCCTTTCATACAGTGTTGTAGCAAGGGTGAAGTTCCATGACTCCATGACTAAGGGTAGGTATATGACGTATATAGAACAAAGTGCATTTGATCTGACATTCATATAGTAAATGTCACTCAGAACAAGTAGCTTTTGTATTAGAATGTCGGCATGTCATTGATTGTCAAACTATTTCTTTTCCTATCCTCTAAAATAACAGAAATCTTATGATGCATCATCTCCACAGGTAATATGATATGTCACTCAAACATATCATAGGAAACTTTCATAATTCCATTTGGAAAGGGATGTTTTGGGAGGATCTGGAAAAGTAAGCAAACTTCCTACCAAAAGTGTGGGTTTTCTGAAAGCCTTCCATTTCAAAAGCGTAGAAACATAAACACACCCACATAAAAATCACTCCTGAATAATCAAAATATGTTTAAATCTACATGTTTATAATTTTCAAAATCTTCGTCCCCTGCCTGAAGACTTTTTAAAAAATAAAGTATAAATCCTAGATCAGAATTTCCAGCATTAAGATCAATGCATATCTTTGCCAGATTCAAAAGAGAGCACATAAGTCTATGTAAAAAGTATATGAGAGGAATTATGACCCAGTGTAATAAGTAGCAGTCAGAAAGCCAGCAGCGTGTTCCCATTTGTGCCAAGCTAGTTTTTTGTCAACCTTTGGAAATCACATCATCTGTTTGTGCATAGCTTCCTCTTTTGTAAAACAGAGCTAATGTGCTTCATAACTTTTATAATGCATTTTGAACTCTGATGGAAGTAATTGCAAAATTGCAAAGTATTCTTAAAATTTGTCCATAGCTGAAAACCCATCCATGTTGCTTGGTATTTTCTTCAGATTTCACTGGTGCTTCATAATCCATTGCTCCTGATTTCCTAAAATATTTACTTCTGTGAGGTATAGAAATGAAACTT